GAGGCTTCATCACATTACCCAGTAGGAATGATGATGGTGGTGATGATGACAGCCATGAAATCATGTGTATCTTCATAGCATTTCTATAGTTCATCTATAAAATGCCTAATAAAATGCTAGACAAAAACCTCCATGGAAATACTGAATACTTATCTCTGTGGCTACCTGAACTTAGCAATAAAACAAAGTATATATAGTTAAGGTAAGTAAGAGGTGACCGGCCTTTTTAATGTGTACTATTTATACGATAATAGAGATTTAGAGCTGACAGGGATCTAGTGGCCATCTTGTCCAACCTCCTCATCTTGCAGATGAAAAAAACTGAGGAACAAGGAAGTTAAGTGGTTTGACAAAGAACATTATGGATAGAGTGCTGGACATGGAACCAGGAAGATTTGAGTTTAATTCTAACCTCAGACACTTACTAGTTGTGTGACCCTAGGCAATTAATTTAATGTCTGCCTCAGTTTCCTCATCTGTAAAATGGGGATAATAGCAGCAGCTACTTTCCCAGGGTTCTTGTAAGGATTCTATTTGTAAAGTGCTTTGCAAACCTTAAAGTGCCAAGAGTGCTAGCTATTATTATCAGCTATCATTAATTGACAAAGTCATGATATGAACCTGTTTTCTTTCCATTTTTATCACATTGTTCATTAATACAATCTTATCTTGAATAGCATCTGTGTACTATACTTTGAATGTGGCTGATTTTACTTTGTGAAAACAGTTGTCCTGTTTTTAGTAATATATAGTTAAAACATTAGGATCCCCACGCTCTTTTCTTGCCTTACATAGAATTCTCTCCCTCTTTGTTTTCAGAATATCATAGCGGTAAAAAGGTAGTTTAAGAGATCTTCTAGTCCTTATTTCTTCCTCCAAGAATGGCAAGCAGAGTTGTTCCTCTTAAAGTTGCAGAGTCTTACCACCCTCCCTCATAAATCTATTCTATTACTATGTTACAGCTTCTGGGCAGCTAAGTGGCGCAGTGGATAGAGTGGCAGGCCTTGAGTCAGGAAGACTCTTCTTGAGTTCAAATCCAGCCTCAGACACTTACTGGCTGTGTGACTCTGGGCAAGTCACTTAACCCTATTTGCCTCAGTTTCCTCATCTGTAAAATGAGCTAGAGAAGGAATTGGAAAAACATCCCAGTATCTGTCAAGAAAACTCTAATGTAGGTCACAAAGCGTTGAACACGACTGAAAATGCTAAACAGCAACATCTTGTATGATACGGGAGTGTCTATTATTATGTTCTAATCACATAATAGAGGAATTTAAAATAATCATTCAATGCCCATAAGTAGGCAAAATAAATAGTGTTTTAGTCAGTCATTGTGAAATGTTTTAGCAAAACATGAACTATCTACAAGCAAGAGTTGATCCTAGCATTGATTGGCCAAATGGAAACATAACTTACTAAATAAAATGTGAAACATTACTTACATTTAGTACATGTAGATCAGAACTCTGACATTTCATTAAAAAAAATCCCCTCAAGAAATGAAAACCCATTCTATATCCTTCCTGACACAAATGCTGTAGGCTATTTTATTATTTAAAGTCATACAAAATGTTAAGCATTTTACATCTTACTGAAATTTCATTGTGAAAGTTCAGTGGATCTCAGAGACAGGCTCTAAACTGAGACTGTCTCATTAGAAAAGGAAAAAAAACATAATTTCTGAACCATCAACCAATTTTTAGTTCTCTTCTCAGTACCTCTCCTTAATATCTTGGTAGGTAATTTGAAAAACGGCAGTCAAATAGTTATTCCTACCTAACAAAATTTTCTGATCTCCTCACAAAGGTTTTATAATGACCTGAGATGCAGAGTGAGGACTGGGGAGGCTGAAAGTCAAAGAAATAAATGCCTGAACCAATAATTCCTATATGCTAGCCCGTAAAGTGCCATGGGCCTTCTAAGGCTCTGCAACAGATGATATTATCCAATATTCTGTTTTAGCATTGGTACTTTTATAGCAAAGATCAGTGTTTTAAGTCTACATTGCTCTTCCCTTCCGATTTTGTTTTTGGCAGCTTAGATTCAAGCCTGTCAATGCCTATTATGGGTTCTTTTTATATTATAGTGCTGCTGCTGGTTTTAGAAAATTGAAGGTATCCTAACATTCTTTTATGACCTTAGAATAAATATGATTCAGAGAAACATCACAACACCAGAGATGCAACTTTCATTACATTTTGGAACAAGAACACTAAAAAGACTAAAAGTCTAAAAAATCATTATATTCATAAAGCATCTATAGCTTTTAGAGTGCCATTTAAAAATTAACATCAATCAACACCAAAGAATCAACATACCCTTCCCAAGTAGGTGTAATATTAAAGGAATTTCAAACAGGCATTATTCCAGTTATTTGAGCATGAATGCCCTCCTTTGTATTTATATTTCCCTTAGTATGTATTGGTAGCACATGTTAACAAACAAACAATATTTCCTAAAATATCTTATCCAGAAAGACAACAAACACATTTTTAGATTTAGTACTTTTCTTTGGAAAAGTCAAAGTGTGTCTACATAGAGGATTTCATTTGAGTAGGGCCTACTAGTATCAATAAAATATTTTCTACATTTGTAGAAACTGAGGTACAGCTGCACAATCAAGGTGGCATGGTTTACCAGAAAGAACAGTGGACCAGGATTTGGGAAATCTGGGTTCTAGCTTGACTTTGTCATTTCTGAGCTGTATGATTGCAGGCAAATCACAACTTCCCTGAGACTCAGTATTCTCTTCTTTAAAATAAGAGATGATTTTATTATTACCTTAAAATTATCTAAAGATTATAACATAAAAGATAATCTCTAAGGTCCTTTCCATTTATAAAAGTCAACAATTTCAAGACAGAACAGAAATAATGGTCCATTTTTGTTATACTAGGAACAGGAAAGCTGATGCTTCTAGGCTGTGGCTATGTGATTCTGCTGGAGAGATGAGCCAACGTGAACAAAAGATTGTGGTCCTGGTTATTTCACCATCATAAACACAGCCATAGTGATTAACTTGTCCCAAATCAGACAGGAGCAGAGGTAACTAGAATCTAACTCTCTTGATTTCCAGAGCACCCCCCTATATTTATAAGGACACTACCAGTCAGCACAGATTAGATTTAAGGATATTATGTCTAGTTTTTAAGCTTTCAAAGAAAGTCTAATTTTATAGTCTCAGCCTAAGTTAGGCCTTTTTGAAACATACCTTAGCGATCCTTCCTCTTCACATTTTAATTTTTTCTGACATGACAAATAATGAAAACCTTAAGAACAAATATTCAAGTTTATATATTTCAAAATCCTGAAATAAATTAATATGAAATTTTCTTAACTAGATATCTAGATAGTCAGCATTATCCAATATAAAGTAGTTAGAAGATAAAAAGGCAGTGGAGAGACTTAAAAAAAAAAAAAAGAATAATGCCCCCCCACCAGAATCATAACAACCTTTAATCTCTACACTGTTAGCTATTTAGAATGCAGAAATATACTGTTTTCTTATTAAGATGAAAACTGTTCATTTAAAATCCATTCAATAGTACATACAAATATGTGAATTACAATCCATGGGCTGGAAAGGACCCCAAGGCATCTAGCCCCATCTGTACCTGAGTAGACTCAATATCCCTGACCAGAAATCATCCAGCTTTTACTTGGAGACCTCTAGTGATGGAGAACTCAGAATCTCCAGAGGCAGTCCCATTTCTATTTCTGGACAGCTCTGATGGAATGAAAGCATTGCAGAGCCTTCCAGTGACACATTTCTTTGGTTGCTTCTCTGCAGTTCATCCTCTCTCACTTGCTTCTGTCTCTTTCTCTCTCCTTACTTATAACCTCAAAGATGATGTACCATGCCAAGTGATCACATTGGACTCCTACTTCTCAGGCATCTCTGTAGTTCTGTAAAGCACTTAGGAACTATGGTCACAAATATGACATACGGAAGGAATACTTGAATGAAACATGGAAGAATTTTGCTCAGATACTTAGGCCTATTCACAATAAAGATAATGCCCATTCAAATAATTTACCTATATTGACACATATCTTTAAATTTATTCAGATGTTATTCACTTATGCTAACATAGAAAAAATATATTGTATTTTAAGTTTATATGTAAAACTTTTTTACATTAAGATAACATTTATAGTTATCATTATTGGCACTTCCTCTATACACCTTTCTTTTCCTGTTGGGGGGAAAGTCATCTTTTTTGTTATTATTTTATCAAGGTGGAAACAGTCTGGTATTACATTTAAAAGTTATTAAAATTTCCTGGACCACGAGAATGTGAGTGAATAGGTTTTTCATGGTATTCTAAAATTTTATCTGAAGATCATGAGAGTAAAAATATACAGTTGCAAGTTATCATATTGAAACAAATGGTAAGTCAGTTGGCTTTCTGGACGATACACTAATACTCTGTTAGAGTTTGTTCTTTTTCCCTTTTTAATACATTAATAACTCTGCCTTCACAAACATAGTATGCAGTAAGATGAAAAGAAAGGCAACTATGCCCTTTGTTAAAGTTGGGAATACAAGAAGATTAATTTTAATTCAATTATGACACGCTCCTTCCTTGCTAAACTGTGGGAAATTTAAACTACAGGGGAAAGAATTAAATGGAAATCCTCCATGATACTATAATCTGGGTCTTCCTTTTCCAAATAGATTAAGCAGTGATCAATGTAGAACCACAACAATCAAATAACAAATTTACATTTCCGACAACCTAACCCAAATGCGGAAGAAAAAAAACCCCCAACATTGATTAAAAACGATAGTAAACAATAAATTATGTTTCAGTGCAGATAATTAGCTATATACAGTATAATTTAAAATCGAGTGCTGAAGACTGCTGATGTTGATCTCTTAGAACTCTGATAAAATATAAATAAGGTACCCAAGAGAGGATGGTTGAGTCAGCTGTGGCACAGAACACAGGCTGATGTCTCTCTTTTTATTATCACAGCTTGAAATAGATTCCATCAGAATCTTCTACCAAGTGTGCAAGAGATGGCAAATGTCAATTCCAAAACCATTTTTCTAGATTGCCAACAGACTTGTACTCTTGGTGTCTCTTCACATGGTCACAAGCAGAGCATGCATGTGTTTCCCAGAACCGTGGGAGATTCACTGTGAAGCTTTTCCTCCAGTTAAAGTAACTGAGGTATAACTTATCGTTTTTGTCTAGCTCCTTAAGATATTTAGCTAGCTCGCTGGCAGAAGTGTAATCTTCCACATGAATAAAGGAGTCCCCTGGGATAAAATTCTCATAGTTTTCCCTCGATGGACCTAGCACAACAGGTACTGTACCAGCCAGAAAAGCATTGTAGAGTTTTTCAGTGATGTAATCTTTGTGGATTGAGTTTTCAAAGGAAAGGTAAAATTTACAAGTAGATATGGTGGGAATCAAACTTTTATCATTCACATACTCTCCAAATGCTTGTCCATAGGTATGAATTTCAATGCTTTTACTTAGCTCGCTGTAATACTTGACTCTTGCATGCTCAGGATTCCAGTTACTGACAACCCAGCACACCAGCTTCTTCTTGCTTGGCACTTCAAACACAAAGGAGTTTGTGCTTACTGTCATGAAGCCATAAGGCACTTGTATATCTGAGTCACGGCGATAAGTCAGAGTTAGGTTGAAGAGGTGTTCAATGCCACTCTTCTGGGGTGTGTGAGTAGGCGATTCCAAGTTCATCCAAATCCATTTCTGGAATGGTGGCCTAGCTTGCTGGGGTAAATTAGTGAGATCCCAACTGATGTCTCGATGATGAATCAGAACAGCATGGGATTTGTTGTAAAGGGCTCGATCGGTGGTAAGACGACACCCGTGGATGTTAAACATTGCTTGACAGGATGAAAGGTCAAATGTCTGCCCAAAAGGCCATACCCAAATCAATATGATGGTTTCATTCAAATCATCAGTTTTGCTGGAAAAGAAATTTTTCATTTTCAGAACAGAGCTGGTTGTCTCTATGGGGCCAAGGATCCAGCTGTTGGTGGGCTTGATGTAAATGAGCAGGCATGCCATGAAACAACCCAGGATAATGCAGGTGATTAAAAATGGGCGGAAAATTCCTTTGGATGTCGATGTCATAATTTTTTCTGTGAAAGAGACAGAGAAAAAGGAAAGAAAAGTAAAAATTTGGATCAATGAATTATGATTATTTATCCCCAAAGTGTATTTGATTAAAAAACAACTGCCTTTTTTGGTGTCATCAAACCATATAGAACAAGGGTTCTTAACCTGGAGTCCACAGATCCCCAAGGAGTTCATGGGTAGATTTCAGGGGGCCCATGAACTTGGATGGGGAAAAAATACATCTTCATTTTCACTAACCTCTAAATTTTAGCATTTGTTTCCCTTATGAATGTAGGTAACAAAATATTATCCTCAGAAAGGATTCATGGTTTTATCAGACTGTGAGAGGTCTATGACACAAAAAAGGTTAAGAACTTGTGATACAGATTATTAACAAATAAGTTATCCCTAACCCTACTTTTGGCAAGAAAATGTATTTCCCATAAGTCTTCACCAACTCAGTTCAGAGCTAACCTAACTTATTTCTCCTGGTTTAATTTCAAGCCCAAACTCAATATTTCAGTCATCTCTCTTAAGAGTTGTATCTGGCAAGCATGGTAGTGAGGGCAAATTCAATATGGGGATGGTGGTGATGCATGACGATGGACATCATAGACTTAGAGTTAGAAAGCACCTTGGAGGTCATCTAGTGCCACCTTCTCATTTTAAAGAGTTTAATGACTTGTCCAAGGTCACACAGGTGGCAAGTGGGAGAGCCTGGATTTGAAGGTCCTTTGACTCTAGATTCAGCACTCTTTCCAGGCATCCATGTCAGTCTGGTGCAGGTATGTTAGGGAAGGGGAAGCCAATAGATCCTTTTTAATTTGGGGTCTGTGAACTTTTTCTTTAAAACTGATAACTGTATTTCATTATAATTGGTTATCTTTGTAATCCTATATATTTCATTTTATGCATTGTAATGCATTGCTCTTTGAGGGAGTCTGTAGGCTTCACCAGACTAATAAAGGAGTCCATGACACAAAAAAGGTTACATTTTTTTGATAGTACAATCCACATCTTACCCTGCCCAATACCTTTGACCCCTAGGAAGAGGAAGAGGTGACAAGAGCAGCATAAGGAGAATGGAGTCCCCTGGACATACCACCTCCCCACCCCCCACACACACATACCCCTAACAACCGTAATGGAGCTTCAGTGCACTAAGAGTTTTTCCAAAGTCCCTATTGGTCTCCTGTGCTACTTGAAGCTGGAGAGTTAAGGCCTAGTTCTGGGTAATTTGAGATCAGTGACCTGGGATCCAATAGTTCACAAGCTAATCCATTCCTAAAATCCTCTGTGAGATAAGTTTTGAAGATTTACTCTTCTTCATCAAAAGGAGTAGATGTAGGGAAAACACTAGCCATCACAGTAATAAGTAAGGAGGTTAGTATACTTGAAGGCAGAGAGCACTGGGTTCAAATCCTGACTCGGATACATACTAGATATGTAATGATGGGCAAATTACCAAAACTGATTGAGTCCCAAATTTCCCATCTGTAAAATGGAGATAATAGTTCTCATAGTATTTGCCTGACATGATTGTTTTGAGGCTCAAATGACATCGTTTATGTAAAGAACGTTGCAAACTTAAAACTGTAATATAAATCCCAGTTTTTCTTGTTATTCAGTGACTATGAGAAGGATCTGGGATCTCACTGATTTAGGAACTTCCCATATGGAAACTGTCTCTAACAATGCAGAGCACATTTGTGGTAAATTTATGTAAAGGAATATAGAAATTATGTGACTGGCCCAAGATCATGCACAATTGGTTAACCCAAGTCTTTTTGAGTCTAAAATCATCACTGTAATTCCCCATTCAGTCTCCTATTTTGATGGTGATAATGATAATGATGATGATGATGATAATTTTGGTAATATGGCAGAATTAGTCTTGGATTTGCAGTCAGGAAAGATTTTAGTTTGACTTCTGTAATGCTTCCTACTGGTGAGACTATGCACAAGGTATTTAACCTCTCTGATCCTTATACAATCCTTATCTATCATATGAGGATAATAAATCTATGTACTTCACAAGGTTGTTGTGAGGCTCAATGGAGTTAATATATGTACAACGCTTTGTATACTCTTGAAACTATAGAAAAGTCAGTTATCTATCTATTGCTAAAATGTATAGTTTCAGACCTGGTTTCAGAAACATTTGGCTCTATTCATTGACATGACTCTTTGCAGAAACACAGCCTTTCAATTCTTGACTATTTTTTGAAGAATGTGTGGCCCTGCTGTCAATTTATGGAGGTTTAATTACTTAAACTTATCTCCATTCAATTTAATTCAATTAGATGATTATTTATTGAGTGCCTACTACATACAAAGCACTGTTCTAGACACTGAACCTATCATATGCCTTCCTAGGCAACATTCTGTGCAGTTCCAATGAGTCACCACTAGCTGTTAAACAAGTCTTCTCACCTAGTTTCCAAGGCCCTCTACAATCTCAGGCAAGTTTACCTTTCCTTGCATGTTCTTTTCATACACAGTAGTTTAGCCAAACTGGATTACTCACTATCCCTTTATCCCTTGTACATGTCCCATGCTTTTCTGATTCTGTGCTGTTGTTCTTGCCAAGACTTGTAATTAAAGTAAGGCAACTGAGGATTTCCCATGGACCTGAAATTTACAGGGTTTTCTATCAGCAAGGTAGAAACAACCGAGCTCAGCACTGAACTAATGAGAATAATGAATTAAAGCTGTAAGCTACTAAATGGGCCATTTTCTTCCCCATACCACTGCAATTATGTTCCTTCTTTTCTACATATCTCTGTGATCTTATCAACTTTGATTGGTTTAACTATCATCCGTATGTAGATAACTCCAAGATCCAAACCTAAACTCTGTCCAGAACTCTATTCCCACATCACCAACTATCTGCTGGACACTTTCAACCAAGTATTCTGTAGATATCATAAACTGAACACGTAAAAAAAAAAACCCAAAAAACTGTACTTATTTTATTTTCCTAAAACTCATTATTCCTCTTAAACTTCTCATTTCTTTTGATGATACCAGCACTCTGATTCACTCAGGTCTGAAACTTTGGAGTCATTCTCCTTTTTCCTCTTTCCCTCTAGCTTTATATCCAATTAGCTACCAAGTCTTTACAAGTCTTACTCCATAATATCTCTTGCATCCATCCCTTCACAATACTCTATTTCTCTATTCACACTACACTAGGCCTCCACCTAGTCCAGGATATTATCATCTTTCACTTGCCCTATTACAATATCCTTAAATTGATCTTCCTAATTATAAGTCTTTCCCCTCCACAAGCTTCTTTTATACAGCTGCCAAGTGGATCTTCCTAAAGCAAGATCTGAAAATATGACCACCCCACTAAAAAAATCTCCTATGACTTGCTATTGACTCTATATAAAATACAAAATCCTTAGCCTAGCACTTAAAGTCTCCTATGATATCTACTTGTCTCCTGAGGAACCTGCATGTGGGTCAAGAAGCAAGAGTTAGAGCCGAACATGGAACAACTGATTGTTTTGAGATTGGAAAAGGCTATATATCACCTCATTTATTTAACTTATATGTAGAGTATACCATGAGAAATCCCAATATGGATGAATCAAAAGCTGGAATTAAGGCTGTCAGAAAAAAAAAAGGCTGTATATCAACAATCTCAGATATACGGATAATACCAATCTAATGGCAGAAAGTAAATAAGAATTAAGAAATCTCTTGATGAGGGTGAGATAGGAGATTGTAAATGCTGATTTGAAGCTTTAACATAAAAAAAAACAAACCTAAGATCTTGGCAACTGGTTCCATTACTTTCTAGAAAATAGAGGGAGAAGAAATGGAAGCAGTATCAGATTTTATATTCTTGGGCTAAAAGATGACTGTAGATGGTGACTTGTAGCCATGAAATCTCTCCTTGGTAGGAAAGCATATCTGGACAGAATAAGAAAAAGCAAAGACATCACCTTGTTGACAAAGGTCCGTATAGTCAAAGCTATGGTTTTGCTAATAGCAATATATGATGGTGAAGAGTTGGACTATAAGGAAAGCTCATGCCTGCAGAGTCAATATTTTCAAATTGTGGTGCTGGAGAAGACTTTTGGGGATCCTTTGGACAACAGAGGGATCAAATCAGTCAATACTTAAAGAAATTCATTTAAACTATTTATGGGGCAGGTAGGTGGCATAGTGGAAAGATTGCTGGAGTTAAGGAAGACTCATCTTCCAGAATTCAAATCTGGCCTCAGACGCTAGATGTGTGACCCTGGGCAAGTCACTTAATCCTGTTTGCCTCAGTTTCCCATCTGTAAAATAAACTAGAGAAGGAGATGGCAAACCACTACAGTATCTTTGCCAAGAAAACCTGAAATGGAGTCAAAGACTCCGGCATGACTGGAAAGACTGAACAACAATAACATTCACTGGAAGGTCAAATACTGAATACTTAAATACTTCGGCTACATAACAAGAAGACAGGACTTATTGGAAAAGGCTCTGATGCTGGGAAAGATTGAAGGCAAAAGGAAAAGGGGACAGCAGAGGATAAAATGGATGGTGCATGGAAACAATGAACATGAATCTGGACAGAATTCAAGAAACAGTGGAAGATAAAAAGACCTGGCCTGCTATGGTCCATGAGATCATGAAGGTTGGACATGACTGAACAACAAAACAACATAACGTCTACCTTTCCAGCCATTTTATGTCATTCCCTTTCTAACAGGCTTGCTATTTGTTCCCTGTACATGTCATTCCTCCAGCTTCTATTCTTTTGAATAAGCAGTGCCCCTTGCTTAAGCTTGACCTAGCAGAACTCCCTAACTTCTTTCAAAGAGGTGCTCCACTGTCACTTCTTTCATGAGTTTTTTTCCTCATCCATCAGATATCAACATTTTTTCTTTGAAATTACTTTGTGTGGATCATAGGATCATAGATTTAGCAACAAAATGGATCTTAGTAGCCACTGAATTCAACCCTCTCATTTTACAGATGAGGAAACTGAGGCACAGAGAGGTTAAGAGATTTGC